ATAAGAACATAATGATATGATTAAAAATACATGATAATTCATTAGAAACACCAATTAATCAAATACTTTGCATAAACCCATCTTTAAAGGGACATTCCACTTTTTTGGTAGGTCGAAAAATTTTGTTGCTCAAATTTGTGAAAACTAAAAACCAAAAACTATAGAAATGTATCCTAAAACGTATCTGAAAGTTTTTACTAAAAAAATCCAACTGATTTTTTAACGCCAAACTTTACGTAAAAGGTTACGTAACCTTTTAAAGTTCGTTATGCCTTTTGCAAGCTGTTGAGAAAAATAAACGCCTAATTGTAGAGAAATATTTCTCCTGCGTTTTTCTAATGATTTTTACTAAATATAAAGAGCCACCGAAACTAGGTCAAACTGATTAATTAACAATTAGTAATAACAATAACTTTAATAATAATAACTTTATTTTGGCAACCCATTTAGACAGTGTAAGATTACAGAAAGAATAAAATCTAATGTTCGGGCCCAAACGGAGAACAAAAATAAAAAAAAAAGTAACCACTATGTTTCCCCACAAGACTACTAATTATATACTAAGTATATAATAAAAACACAGAAAGTTTAATAAAACATATATACATTTACAATGTAACATGGATGTGTTGAAAAATATAAACACTGTGTTTCTTAGATTATATGATGGTATAAGTTTTTTTTAAGTAAAATGAAATGGTGAGAAGAACAACAGGAATGGTTATAAATGATATGGAATCAATTAATCATTACTGTCAGTAAGAACAAAATTCTTCAGTTCTTGTTTACATGTATGTAAAGAAGGGTTGTGGAAGGGAAGGAAAATTTTAGAACTTATAATTTTTGACAGTTTTTAAATTTGGAAGATGGTGGTCCATAGTAAGGCCTAATAATACAGTATCAGTAACATTTTCTATAGGTACATTATTTACAGTTAATGCTAATTGGTTATTTGTTGTTTGCAGATTGGAACCAATTAACATAGCCTTGGTTTTTGTAGCATTTATAACCATCCCATTATCCTCACATCAGGTTTTAATGTTAAACAGATCATCTTGAAGGGTGGCATTAATACAATTTAAGTTATGGCGAGAAAAGTGTACTGTACTGTCATCAGCCAAGAGGTCTGTAGCACAATTTCTAACATGAAATGTTAAGTCAATGATAAAAATGAGAAAGAGGAGAGGACCAAGATTTGACCCCTGTGGCACCCCACATTTTATAGAATTGAGATCGGATTGACAGGCACCTAGAGATTCTCTTTGCTTCCTTGAATTTAAATAAGATTGAATCAATGTATAAGAGCAGTAATGGAATTTGTATAATTTCAATTTTTCTACCAGTAATTTGTGGTCTAACATATCAAAAGCTTTACTAAAATCTAAGTAGACAACTCCTGTCATTTCCCCATTATCAATTGCATTAACCCAAGAGTCACACATTTTAGTGTAGTATTACAAGAATGATGTTTCTGTCCTCGTTCAAAAATAGAGAAATTGGTTAAAATAAAAGTTGAAAGCTAATAGGCTAGAACTATCAAAAGGTTCAAAATCCATGACATAAGGTCTCGTTGCCACGCTCGGAGCTGTTTTTCCACCTGAATTTTTCTAGGCACGTAGATCTATTTATTTTGTGAAGACCAAATTTTACAATAAAACAAAACCATATTCAAGCCTTATTTGAAACAAATATTGCATTTTGTAATTTTCAGGTACTCAGGTAATTTATAAGCTAAACCTTCATATAAATATATATTTTTTTTTAAATCAAAAATTCTTTTTTGTTGTTGTAAATTATGTTATTGTTTTACTGTCGATATGCAGTTAAAATATCCTGTTATATATAGGCTACCAACTGTCTGATTCTCTAGAGGCTTTCCCTTATTCTTCAAACTTGATGAACTTTAGTGAAAATTGAAATTCGTTGCTGTTAGTATAGATACCAGGATATAATAGAGCAATCCTAGGGGAATAGGGAGACCACATATCGTTCATAAGGGAAGGTGAAATGCGATTTAAACGAAGGCTAAAATGAAACGTTCTGGAAAAGATTGTCTTTGTCTTTACTCAATCAATCTAAATATAAACAATATCGATGTAAACAATCAGACTCAATTAAAGTTTCTATGATGATTTGCGTTTCACTGTTCTACATTTTCTTTCACATAGAGTTCTTCTAGGGTTCATAGATTAGGATATGATAAGATAATGAAGATAGGTAAAAGAGGATATGAAGACGCCAGGTTGTAATATAACAACCATCATATTTTTCACCTCGTTCGTTTTCCAGGAAAAAGTATGACGTGATTCTATTTTCGCTTTTGACCAACTAAATGGAGTTCTGTCCCTTTAGTCACTTCAGATTTAGAGGTGTATGATTGTGATATTTGGACATTACACAGGATATTTTAACTGAATTTCGACAGTAAAACAATAACATAATTCAAAAAAGAAAAACGGAAAACAGAAATATGTTATTCGTTATTCACCAAAGTTTAAGGATCAAGAGAACGCCTCCTGAAAATCAGATGGTATAGGCCCTAGATACCAGAATGTCTTAACCGAAAAAGGACAAACAAGCGCCAACAAGTATAAACAAACGCAAACAAGCACAAACAAAGCGCAAACAAGTGTAAACAAGCACAAATGAGAGTAAAAAACACAGGAAAGATGAATTATATATAATATCGAACGGACATTTGTGTGTTACTAGTTCTTCTGGCACTGTTGGTGCTCCTAAAATTTTTATTATGTTTTTAATATCATGTAAATATACAATACATCAGATGGCAGAGTATTTTAATGTTAGCAAGAGCACCATCCAAAGGAGGCTATCTGAAAATGATATAAAAATCAATGACAAATACAGCAATATTGAAGGGGTTAATTCTATAAATTGGCTATCCTTTGGGTATATGTTCATGTTTTTTTTAATCATTACATTTTTTGAATACATTTATTTGGAGTGAAGTGAGTTATTCATAATTGATGTACATTATTGCCCATGACATCATCAAAACGCATTAAATTTGGCTTTTGAATGCAATAAAGACTACAATAATGATGTAAAATAAATTAGTGTTCCTTAGAGAGAAGTTATTGTGTATGAATTAATATTGCTGATAGGCTCCGCCCACAAGTCACAAAAAGATAATGCAGTCGAGATAAAACCGTTCGCTAATGCAATGTAGAAGATACTAAGACGAAGATGTAATGTAACTAGTCCAATGTAAAAGACGCAAAGACAATTATGCTTTGTTCAATGTACAATGTCGAAAGTGAAAGTACATTGCACGTATAATTTTAGGTATTGTGTCGGTGGTTTTATGTAATTTAACATTTGCATTATGAATTAGACGTATATTATGACATAAGTAAAAGAGGTATTTTGTCTTTGAACAATGCACAGATGTATGTGTCGTATGTATAAGTAGCATCTAATTCTGAATACGATTGACCTCCATACACTATATGCTTCAGCCAAAAAAAAGTGGGTATTCTATTGCAATTCGCATATATACTAGAATTTTGTTTGAGCTTATTTGCTATTGTTTGCGCTTTTTAGTCACACTGAGGTTAAAATTTAACAAGTTGGAGGATCAAGAGAACGCCCTCTGAAAATCGGACAAATACAAGAACATAATTTGAAAAAAAACGAAAACGAATAACTTGTGAAGTTGGTTCTTATTCGTTATTCGCGAATAACGAAAAACGAATTAACAAATTCCACTGCCAAAACCACTAGGATTAACAAGAAGTGGAAACACTGGGGAGGAACTTGTTAAGGTGGGAAACCACTATATGCCCCTCCCACTTTTATCTTTTAAGATACTTGTCTGGGTTG